CCGACATATGTCAGGCTGCCAGACCCCGGCAGACGTCAGACTGCCAGACTCCCACAGACGAGCAACTGTCAGACTCCAGCAAATGTCCGACTCTGCAGACACCAGACTGCCAGACTCCCACAGATGTCCGACTACCAGCCTCCGACAGGTGCCAGACTGTCGAACTTCGAAATATATCAGACAGTCAGACTCCGACAGACGCCAAACCGTCACACTCCGGCATGTCAAACGGTCAAACTCCGACAGATGTCAGACTTCCAGACTCCTTCAGACCTCGAGTCGTCGTGGCTGTCACCGATGACAGATGTCGCCGATGTCAGACGCCGAGGGCGAAAGGGAACGAGGTGGTGGCCACCGACCATCTATGTGGCCAGTCGCCACTTCATTCCATTTCCAGCGACCGTTTGAAATGCGACAGCTTTGTCGACGTCAGGCTCGGGTCCGCTGTTGCTGGGAACTGAAGCGATGGATGGCTGCGTACGTGAGCTAACGTCCATCAGTTGTCATCCCAGTGCAAATGCTCAGAGCCGGCCGGCTCACGCGCCACACCTTGGACGCCATACGTTGAGAGCTTGCACTTGGGATGTTTTAGACGATGCGAGAAGCATGACATGCAGGGGTTCTGCGATCTTGTATGGCGATCTTAAATTTATCATTCAGTCAGCGCGTCTTCTACGGATAAGACGACACAACCACCTGACCGGCACATCGGCGGTCTGTCATGACCAATTATGTTCTGTGTTCTGCGCCACCTCTAAGTAAGTGCGTCCCCGGTACCAGAAGGCTGGACCATTTCGTACGCACTTACGTGGTCCATGACGAAGCCTGATAATCAGCTGACAATTACAGTGGAGAAGGAGACAGATGGGCACTACACTCGTCACGCGTCGCGAGGCGCTGGAGCACGCCGACTGATGTCGCACGCCGCGTTTCTCGAAGGCACCGAGGTCTTATTGGACGCAGGACGTCAAGAACCACCTTGAAGCCAGGGACCTTACACGCGGCACCGCACATTTGATGTCCAGTGAGATGCAGCACGAGGGGTATGGCTCGTTTTAACTACCCCTCGCCCCCCCCCCCCCTGATCCTACACCCATGATGTCGCTGCGTATTTACTATTTTTAGACCTTAGAAACTTGATCCACCAAACCTGTTCGCAGTAAGCTGCGTTGTAACTCCTTTGTTTTCTGATGTAGGTACAGCCCACCGATCCACAATGCTCGACGCCCGACCAGCCTGTTCGTTCCGGCTGCGCGTCAATTTTTACTGCGCACGTTCAGTTTTACTTGTTTTGCTTGCTGTTCGATCCGTAAATGGGGCCCACCTGTTTGTCGTCGGATAAACATAAGCAAAAATAATAAGCTACGAATATAACAATATAATAATAATTATCATACCTATGAGTATTAAAACAAGATAATGGTACTGTTATATCTGTATCATAAAACGATATCAATATAATGATGATATAATAACGAATACACCAAGAGTAGATGCTCCAGCAAATTACGAAAAGCTGTTGGCATCGGTCGCCGATAGCTTCACCAGGTAAGCTTTTGTTATCATCTTCTTTGCAAAACAACGAGAACTTTCCCATCTGTAATCGCCTCTCCCCTGCCGCGCCGTGTATAGCGTCCTATTGCCTTGCGGACGTTTGGAAGCTCCATTTCATGTCAGCATATCACTGCTTTTGAAGAGTGCAAAACATAAAAAACAATGCCGTGTTGGACTTCTCAAAAATCTATTGAGCTCTTTCACCACAAGCAGGGCACTCTTCTCGGTATGACACTGAAGCCTGTCCCGGTTGTTAATTGGTCCAGTCCGCTGATCGGTCGTATCGAAACCACAGCCCGATAACTATGGTTATGGTGCAGGCCGAGGACTCGAAACCGCCGAGCGAGTCTGCCTCAATCATGCTTAGCTTCAGAACTTTTCTCCAACCAATGCGAGAAGTGATGGCAGGTGCTGCCAGCAGTGGCGTGTATTCACGCGATAGCCCTCGAGGCACGTACCACTTTCATCAAATTTATTACACCTATTAACATGACCCTGAATAAATTCCCGAGGTGGCTACATAAACGTGAGCAGATCGAGGACATCGATGATATTATACACCATACAGCATATTGCATGGGTCTGCGCGACGCTAAACTGAAATTCAGTGAAAACATCTGAGTTGCACGCGCATCCTCAGCCCCACCTTCCTTTGGAAACTCCTGCACGAGTTCCTGTTCGGCAGTGTTAACGCAAAGCCGACACTGAAAGTCATATGGTGTTCGCCTCGTGGACGGGCATACGTCACACTTTTTCTGCATCTTAGGTGGGACGTGCTGTGACCGGTGAGATGAGACGTGTCTTGATATTGAACTCTTCGAGACGGGGGAATAACTGCAACACCTAATGTTTGTGAGACTGGATCCCTATACCAAACGTGGCAAGTGAATCACTCTTTGGTCCCCCGTGGTGGTCCGGGCGGCCGGCCGGCGTGCGCCGGTAAGTGCAGAGGCCCCGGGGGGACTGGGTCAGTGGCCAGAGTGTGGAGGCCCCGGGGTGCCGGTCAGTGGCCAGAGTGCAGAGGCTCCGGGGTGACTGGGTCAGTGGCCAGAGTGTGAAGAGACCCGGGGGGACTTGGGGTTCAGTGGCCAGAGTGCAGGGGCCCCGGGGTGACTGGCCAGTGGCCAGAGTGTGGAAGACCCGGGTGACCGGCCAGTGCCAGATGTGAGCCCCGGGCAAGTGGAGGGCAGCCAAGTGGGAGGCTCCGGGGTGACTGGGTCAGTGGCCAGAGTGTGAAGACCCCGGGTTGACTGGGTCAGTGGCCAGAGTGTGAAGACCCCGGGTTGACTGGGTCAGTGGCCAGAGTGTGGAGACCCGAAATGACCGGGTCAGTGGCCAGAGTGTGGAGACCCGGGGTGACTGGGTCAGTGGCCAGAGTGTGGAGACCCGAGGTGACCGGGTCAGTGGCCAGAGTGTGGGGACCCGAGGTGACCGGGTCAGTGGCCAGAGTGCAGTGGCCCCGGGGTGACTGGGTCAGTGGCCAGAGTGCGGAGACCCCGGGTTGACTGGGCCAGTGACCGGAGTGCAGTGGCCCCGGGGCGACCGGGTCAGTGGCCAGAGTGTGGAGACCCCGGGGTGGCCGAGCCAGTGACCGGCCTGGCGTGTTCCCATTTCAGGGACAGGGGGACGTGGTGACCTCCAGGGGCACACGCTCCTGGAGGTCACACGTACCCTGTCCCTGAAACGTACCCCTTCGTACCCACGTAACCCTCCCTTACCAGATTTATCGCATGCATTGACATGTGCATGAATGCATGCCGACAGTACAAAATCGAAGTAGACGAGGAGAGTCAGACAAATCAGAACATATAAGTTGTTGAGTAAGATTTGCGAAGAACATATGGACATAAACAAGTTTTTCTCCGAGGAATACGACTATTACTGCTATAAAATAAGAATCTAAAATGTTGTTCCGCGCCATGTCAGAAATTTCGCGCCAGCTAAGCTGGTCATACAGCGTTTTTTGTGTGTAATGAACGTATTCCTCCCAATCATAAATCCTTGCATACGCTCCTGGCGGTGTGGTGCCGGTGTGATGCGTGCCTGAAGAGAAGGCCAGACTAGCGCGGCCGTCTGAAGCCGGACCGGTCTGATCCAGACCAGCGTGGCCGTCTGAAGCCGGACCGGTCTGATCCAGACCAGCGCGGCCGTCTGAAGCCGGACTGATATGATC